TGGCAGAGTTAATAGCTCTGTCCTCTAAATCATCCATCACTTTATTCATGTAAAATTTGCTGTCTTGTATTCTCTCTGTCTCTTCCTCAAAACTGTAAGCTCCTGAAGGGCAATAACTGTATTCCATTCATGTTTGTAACCACAGTAAGTTAATTAAAGGAATGACTGAATCAACTCATTTCGTTCATGGAAAATCCCTTTATGATAAACCTTTTTTTTTTTTTTGATAATATAATCTGGAGTTTAGGCATATTCACAGATGACGGTAACAGCTCACTGTTTCTTATCTGAGAATCACCAGGGAATAAAGAACTAGCCTTTGTTGCGTAAAAGTTTTCTTAGAATGCCTCAGCTGAATCTTATCTATGTGAAATGTAGATTGTTTGGCTGTGTACATTAAGAACGTGTTTGCAGCTTCCAATGAATACACTTTTTCAAGTAGTTTACTGCTTACCTAAGAGCAGTTAATCAAAGGGCCCTGAAAAAGATTTGAGACCTGGGTGCAAAGGATAGCCATCAGGTCATCCCAGTTTGAGGTGTTTTAGTTTTGGGAAATGGGTGACTACAAGCTGCCCGTGCCTACATGGCCCGTTTTTCAGAGCTGGATACAAGCTGAAGTGGGGCACTTCTCCACAGCCCTTGGCAGCAGTCCTTCAGGGAGTGGTATAGATAGCAGATCAGATAAGTGACATTAAAATGTTTGCTTTACTTGCCTGATTTTCTCCTCATTACAAGCAGGGTGGATCATCATGGAGGTGCAACTAGTGAGAAACCTGCTCTTTTCCATCTTCTACATCATCTAGCAGATGATGCATCTGCTAAGTGAGTATAGCATGGTTAAGAATATGGGCTTTGTACACAGATCTAGGTTTCAATCTTAGCTCCACACCTGCTTTGTGACCCTGACCCTTTACTCTTCACGCCTCATACTAGTAGGTTTTTAATATGTGCCTCTTGGCAGGATTGAATAAGAAAAATCATGTAAAATCTTGATATAGTACCAGCACATTAGCAGGCTGTTAATGAATAGTAGGGGTGATGATGGTGCTTCCAGTCATATGTGAATTTCTAGCTTAAAAGCCTAGGTGATTGGTAAATTGAGAGTGAGAATTCGTGAGAAAGATCTAATTTTGAACATGTTACATTTGAGATGTCTGCAGGTCTGGAACTCCAGCTAGGCATCTAGATGGAATCATGGGAGATACCAACTTTCAGTGGTACAGGAAGAGAAGCCAACAAAGGAGACTGAGAAGAAAGGGTCATAAAAGTGGAAGAAGGACTAAGAAAGAGTAAAAGTGAGCTTTGCCAGGGAACTTTTAATGAAATAATGCAGACGAATTAGTGGTAAGACAAGGTGGAGACAGTAAGTGGGAAGTTTGCAGGATGCAAAAATTGCAGACCCTTATTTGGGAGACACATGTTTTTTTTTCTTTAAAACTAAGAGAAAGAACATAGGAATGAGTAGAGATTTAAGAGATCATCATACTTAATTGCATTTCCTGTAATTCCTCAGTAGTCAATCTAGAAGGATCTTTTCCGGACATTAGTTCTGCTAAAGAACATCAAGAGTTATAATTTTGGCTAAGAATCTGTGTCTCTGTTTACTGGTAAGAGTTGACTTACTCTAAGGCATTTAGTTTGAAAACATTCTGTTCATGATCAGTTCTATCCTAAGCCAAATTAAAAGGTCCTTAAACGGGGGTCCCTGGGTGGCTCAGTTGATTATGCATCTGCCTTCAGCTCAGGTCATGATCCCAGGGTCCTGGATCCCTGCTCAGCAAGGAGCCTGCTTCTCACTCTGCCCCTCCTCCCACTCATGTTTTTTCTCTCTCTCTCCCACTCTCACTCTATCTCAAAATAAATAAAGGATTTAAAAAGATAAAAAAATAAAACGTCCTTAAATGGAAAAGCTGTTGCCTAGACCATTAGTAACTCAAATACCAGATGCTTACCCTTGTTAGGGAGCTCTAAGGACCTGAACTGGAGGGCACAGTAACAGTTGAGTACTAATCCTGACTCCGTGCCTCTAATGCAGCAGTTGATTCAGAAGAAAAATTATTAGCAACATTCATTTTGCTTGAGTCCAATATGTGCTGTTTTTAACCAGTTTGGACCATCTTCTCTGATTGCAGATCAGGGCTTCGTGCCTCCAATGCAGCAGTTGATTCAGAAGAAAAATTATTAGCAACATTCATTTTGCTTGAGTCCAATATGTGCTGTTTTTAACCAGTTTGGACCATCTTCTCTGATTGCAGATCAGGACTTTCTACAATATTCAGTGGAGGCTAAATAGTCTCAGATGGAACTACTTGTATATTAGACAAACAGATAATAGAAGTATTAAATAGAAGTATTAAATAACCTTAAGTGGAATTTTTTGGGTAAACTTGTCACTGTTAAAATACACATGTACCTTAAGTGGAATTTTTTTGGGTAAACTTGTCACTGTTAAAATACACATGTGCCACAAACTATGTTAGGTTCAGAGTCTCCATGTTTCACTAAAACCCAGTATCTGCTCAAGGTCTTTTGGACATACAACCAAGTCAGTAGGTGAATACTCTTCAGTGTAAGTGCTTTGATGAATGGACATGTTGGGTACTCTCAGTTTACAGAGGAATAATTTCTAAAACCGCTGTAGAAGGTGAAGTTTGAGTTGATATAAAAAAGATAATTCCAGTCTGGGAGCACTGGAGTCCTCAATAGCCGCTTGTAGATAAAGTCAAGGCTTAATTCTAAAGTAAAAACTAGAAAGGTTTGCCAGATGTTTTAAAGAATTGGTGAAGTTTCAGGAAATGCCTGTGCTGCCACTTTAGGGAAAGGAGGAAAATATGGATAAAATATAAATTGTGGGAAATAGAAAGTAGGCCATTTTGCATAATGATCCTCACTCTAGTCCTAGCTCTAATAAAACACTTTTCCCTATGTGGATATTTATTGGTGATACTGAAGGAAGATAGTGTTGCCTCAGAGTTTTAGCCCATCAGTCCCATCTCATTTCAAATATGCAGTGAGCACCTATGTGTTCATCAGTGTGCAATGTGTTAGGGTTGGGGGTTTTGCAAAAGAAACCTACAGTGGTTGTTGTGCTTGGGAAAGCCCTAGTCTAATTTAGAGTATGAATCAAACCAATTGAACAGGTGGATGATAGTAATTTAAATGCCTAAAATTAATGGCACAAATAAAAGGTGATAGAATCTCAGATTTTGGTGAACAGGGGTGGTCAAAGAAGCCCTGATGGCAGGGAATGGAAGCCTTTAAACTATGCTTCAAAATAAAATGAATCCAGTAAGTTAGAGCATTTCTGAAAGTCCATTCCATAAAATGCTTTGCAAGTCTTAAGACAGCAATTAACTCAGAATAATTGTGGCATGCTCATGTTTCCAAATGAAATTCTACAACCTGGTGATCTCTTTCAAAATCTGTGCCACTTTTTTTTCCCTAAATACTTCATTTGTATATTGGACACCGGAGACAACAGCCCTAACAAATGCACCTTCCTGTCAACTGCATTGTAGTATGCGGTATTATTTCTTAGTTAGCAGCTTCAGAGTTTTGTGTTGAAAAATGATTTAAAGAGGGAAGGGATAATGAAGAGGGTATGAATGGTACAGAAATAATAGAGCCTGGAAGTTTATAGAAAGAGAAACAAACTTGTGTTTAATTACACAGTAGAAATCTCAGATTTAACCTAGATTCTCAAATAATTGCATGTAGTAACTCCTGTAGGGAAGACAGAATGACACTCTGTTGCCTGCTTTCAACTCTGGTACCTCTCAGTTGCAAAAAGTTACTAGAAAAATCCTCACCAGATTCTCAAGGGTACAATCACATATGCTAGAGTGATTGCAGGTGCACTGGTTTCTTCACGCAGGTGCAGTTCTCCAGGGCTGCAGAGGCCCTGAAGGGGAAGAAAAGATAAAATGTACCAGCATCTAAAGCATTGAACAAGCTTGAAATCATAACAAAGGGGAATAGGGATACTCAGCAAAATGATGATGGAAGGAGAAAAGCAGAGACTAGGCAGGTGGAAAAATTCTCAATAGATCGAAATGTTTTGGTTAGAAGCAGGAGGCAATCCTTTTGTCTCCTTTTCTTTGGTAGCAAGAATTATAAATCCTGGAAGAAATTAAAACAGAATCTCACAAGGTGAGAAAAAGTATATGGTAAAAAAATGTCATGTGTTCTTTTAACCCATAAAATTATGGTTTCTAACTTCTGCTCCTTTCTCTTTACCCCTTCTGTATTCAGGGAGTAGTATCACTTCAAGGAAGGGATAGTTCTTCATTAATTGCAACACAAACTGTACACAGAGGATGATGAGTCTGTCTTTTCAGCCAGGTTGTAGGTACTGTAATAACTTTACCAGTTTCACTGAGTTAGAAGCACATGCTGTGACCAAACACTCAAGCTTTAGACAAATATTAGGAAATGGAGAAGTAGTGGAGGTTCATCTTATCATTGAATGTTTGAAGTAATTTTCTCTTAAGAGGGCTTAACAGTAATGAAAATTTGTAATAATTGGCTTGTACTTAGAAGAATCGAGAAAAAAACAAGGGGTTAAGCTCCAGAGGTGCTGTGTTTCAGTCATCAGTCCACGGAACTACACTGAATTACTGATTACATCAGTAATCCCATGGCCAGCGTCTTCACTTGTACTTGGAAAGTCATGGTCTTAGCTGACACCTCCTTGATGCATCAGCTCTGTGTTTCTATGAAGGATTGTGGAAATAATTATTTTGGACATTTTCAGCCAACTCCACACACTGAACTTCACATCTCTATTAATTTCAGCCACTACTGAGCATTTAAGATCCTCTAGTCATCCATCATTTCTTGTTGTGACCTTCATACTTTTGTGTGTGTGTGTCCCCTCATTTGTCCATCAGTTAGGATGCTCTATGAAATAAATAACATAAAACTGCTTTCAAACTGGCTTCAGCATAACTGGAAAATAGCTCTAGGTCAGGTTTCAGAATTAAGTGATATAGGGGCTCAGGGATATCAGTAAATATTTGCTTTCCTTCCTCTATTCTTCTGTTCACAGTGTTTGCTTCATCGTGTCAGGTTCTACTTTGTGTCGTAAGGTGGACGCCAGCTGCTATCAAGGACATAAGCTTCCTGGATTATACACAGTGGGAACAGGAGTTCAGAGGGAAGGGACAGCCACCTCCACGGATCATGGACTGGGACAGGGGCAGTGATGGTGCATGGGTAACGTGAAGAAAAATGTATATATGCTTAGAGGGAAGCAGTGAATGGCTAGACAACCAACCCATTTCTAGCTATCTAATCTACCCTTAGGCTCCTCCCTCATTATTTCTGGAACCCTTGTCCCATAATAAACAAACTCCTCCACTTTTTTATACTCCCTGGATTGTCTTGTCTTCTATTAACCTTTACTGAAATCCATCCAACCCCAGGGAAAACGTTTTCTATACATCCCTCTTTCTTCTCCACCCCATATTCCACAAAGTAAGGAGGAAAGATCACATCTTTGTTTCCCCCAGGTATGCTCCCAGACCAACACTTCACCATTGTATAGAAACACCTTCAAGGCTCACAGTCTGGTTTTATTATCCTTTACCTTGCTTATGATATCCTCCACCAGCTACCTAGTTGGTCTTCTCCAATCTTTGAAGACTTTGCTTTCTGGCTCAGTCTTCCTTTCTATTCCCAGGCCGAGCTATCAAGCTGCTGACTCCAGTGTTCACATAGACAATCTGTCCAGTACGAGATAGTCAGTCATATGCACTCTTCCAACTCATTTATATCAACTGTCCGCTTCTGGGAAAATGTCCTGGATCTTGTCAGACTGCTTAACCTTTGAATTCTTAAATTCAAACCCATACTTTTTTATTAAAACCTAACAACTCCCACTTTACCTGTTTTATTTTACTGAGACAGTAGTCTGTCTTCTTACCTAAAATACATCCAGCTCTAGGGAATTGCTTAGATGCACTCTCCAGTTCTTTACCTTCTTCCTACTGCTCAGTCATAGCATTCTGACCTTCACCACTACCATCCACTGACACTGTTCTTGCCGCAGTCATCAGTGACATTCCTGTTGCTAAATTTGACAGACTCGTCCATCTTTCTGGAGATTTGTACATTTGGCATTTATTCACTCCCTCCCTTTTTCTCTGCTTACTTTTCACAACTTACTAAAACCATTCTGGCTTCATTTTCTTTCTACCTCAGTGATTAAACTAGAGTTAGGCTCAGTTTTTCTGTTCTTATTCTGCAAACTCCCTTGGGCCCGTTCAGCCAGCCTTATAACTCCAGTTACCATCTGATATTAATGAATTGTACTTACATGTGCCACAGCCACTTCACACTTGGCATGTTCAAAATTAATTTCTTCCCCCCCCCCCCGCCCCCACAAAAAGTCACCTCCTTCTAAATTTCCTGTTTTAGTGAAGGTGCCTCCATCCATCCATCCTTTCATCCTTTCATCCATCCATCCATCCAGTTACAAGACAGAATCTTGGACAACATCCTTGACTCACTACCCACCCCTGTACCAAGTACCAAAAAAAAGCAGGCACCCTCCCCCAGGTGCTTCTACTCCAGGAGGTGCCCCAGCCTCACCTGCCAGTGTTGTACAGCACATCACTCCCTCTTCTGCTCATGCACCACCCCCGAAAAGGATTTTGAAAGATCATGTATCCCCTCGCTTTCTAAATATCAACCTAAGATGTTGCCAAAGTATGTCTTTCCTGGTGTCATGTAAATATTATTTTTAAATAAAACTGTTATATCACTCTTTTATTTATTTATTTTTAAAAGATTTTTATTTATTTATTCATGAGAGACACACAGAAAGGCAGAAACACACAGGCAGAGGGAGAAGCAGGCTCTGTGGAGGGAGCCCAATGTGGGACTCGATCCCAGAACGCGGGGATCACGCCCTGAAAAGGCAGACGCTCACCACTGAGCCACCCAGGCATCCCTATATCACTTTAAAAAAAAAAAAAAGTCATATTTCTTTTACTTCCTGAATATCTCTTAAGTCACTCCAGTTCCTCGTTTCCTATTGAGTATACCTTAATATTATGTCCCAATTACAGTATTAGCTTACCTCTAATATGATCTCTTCTAAACCTCTCAACTCACTGTAATTTGGGCGATTTCTCTAGAATGTATATCTTATTTCATCTCTTACCTGATTAAAACCCTTCAGTGGCTCTCTCACTGCCTTCAGAATAAGGTTGAACTCTTAAGTGATTCCCAAGGCTCTTCGTTCTCTAGTCCCCACTGATCTTATCCGACCTCTCTCCTTACAGCTTTTGGCATTTGGGTAATTTGTGGACAACATCCAGATCTTGGCTTGCACCTTATTCCCTTTAGAAAATCATCCTAGAAAAGTTCCTTCTGTGGTCTTTCAGAGTTCTCCACTGTATTATTAACAGCAGGATCCTAGTCAGTTTGCCTGTTTATCTTTGATACCTGTCATAATGACCAGACGGTATATGCTTATAAGTATCTATTGAGTGAATGGCCTTAAATAAGTCACTTAGCCTCTCTGAGCTTCAACTGAATCAGCTATTAAGAGAGAATAATGCACTGCCAACCACATAAGGTGGTCTTGGGGGTCTTGTAAGATAATGGGAATGAAGTTTAGCATAGTAGTTAAGAGTGTAGGTTCTGGATCTATACTGTCTAGCCATCTGCGTGACCTTGGGCAAGTTACTTGATTTTCCTGTGTTTTTGTTTCCTCTGTGGTAAATAAAATGAGAATAACCAGGGATCCCCTGGGTGGCTCAGCAGTTTAGCACCTGCCTTCAGCCCAGGGCATGATCCTGGAGTCCTGGGATCGAGTCCCACGTCAGACTCCTTGCATGGCGCCTGCTTCTCCCTCTGCCTCTGTCTCTGCCTCACTCTCTCTCTGTCTCTCATGAATAAATAAATAAAATCTTTAAAAAATAAATAAACAAAAATAAAAATAAAATAAAATGAGAATAACCATAGTATCTACCTTATAGTTCTGTTGTGAGGACTGAGTGAATAAATGGAAAGCATTTAGTACACTACCTAAACATACAACAGATGTTAGCTATTAATTATAATATTTTTATTTATAAGCTCTAAAATTATATTGAATGGTATATATTACATATGTATACACATATGGCATCAATTATTAGTTTGAGAGTTTTAGGGAGGTGAAGGATTGGTATCATGACAATTTCTTTTTTCTTTTATTTTTTAGAATAACATCATAGCAATATGATGTTATCTCTCCAGTCTTTTTTTTTTTTAATTCTAGCATTTTTTTAAAAGATTTTATTTATTTATTCATGAGAGACACAGAGAAAGAGAGAGGCAGAGACACAGGCAGAGAGAGAAGCAGGCTCCATGCAGGGAGCCCGATGTGGGACTTGATCCTGGGTCTCCAGGATCATGCTCTGGGTTGCAGGCAGATGTTTATTTATTTTTTAAAAGATTTTTATTTATTTATTCATGAGCGACACAGAGAGGCAGAGACACAGGCCAGAGGGAGAAGCAGGCTCCGTGCAGGGAGCCCAATGTGGGACTCGATCCCAGGACCCCAGGTTCACATCCTGGTCCGAAGCCAGGCGCCAAACTGCTGAGCCACCGGGATCCCTGGGCAGATGTTTAACTGCTGAGTCACCCAGGCGTCCCTATTTCTCCAGTCTTAAATTCAGATTGCCATAGGTGATTTACATGAAATTTTTGTAAAAAAATTTTTTACATTGGTGTTCATTATAAAAAGAGCATTTTGAAAATGTTTCCTTGCTGAATCCTAAAACATTTTTTGAGTCTGGTACATTGTAGATAGATGTTAGCACAGGAAAACATGTATTTCTTCTTATTTTTTTGTTTAAGATTTTAGTTTTTTTAAGTAATCTCTGTACCCAACACAGGGCCTGAACTTACAGCCCCAAGATCATAGTCACATGCTCTACCAACTTAGCCAACTAGGCATCCCAGCACAGGGAAAACATTTAAATAAGAAAGATTACTGGCTTAATTTATAAAGGACAGTTGTTAATGTCTTTGACACTTTATTTCTCAACATAATTTAATTACATAACCAATTCAGTGTTTGGTTAAGTACAAATTCCATTAAGTCTGTAGTCAAAGGGGAAAAATGCAAAGGCATTTAGTTTTATGCTTATTTTATGTAAGTTCACCCAAAAGGGATTTACTCAGTTTTATTAAAAAGTTATTTTTAATTTAATTAGATAATACACATCTGTGTATCGACTTTGGACCAACAAATGCCTGATTTTTATTTTTCTGATTCTTTTCAGAGTTGGTGGTTCCAAGATTTTATTCATGATGACTTTAGGAAGAGAAGTGAGGTCTCCTCTTCAAGCCATGTCTTCCTATACTGTGGCTGGCAGAAATGTTTTACGATGGGATCTTTCACCAGAGCAAATTAAAACAAGAACTGAGGAGCTCATTGTGCAAACCAAACAGGTGTACGATGCTATTGGAATGCTTGACATTGAGGAAGTAACTTATGAGAACTGTTTGCAGGCCTTGGCAGATGTAGAGGTGAAGTACATAGGTGAGTAGGATGCATTTTGTAGGCATCATCAACCATTTTATGCATTCTGTTTTGGCAGTCCATTTTCCAATTTTACAAGACATTGATTTTTCCATAATGATTAATAAATTGCTTAGAATTCAATTAAATAAGATTAAAATTGTTTTTATTGTGTTGGCAATGATGCTACAGAATGTACACTCCTATTACAACTGCTTCCTGGGGAATATTTTGACATATCAAAACGCTTAAGCAGTTCATATCCTAGCCCTGTTAATTCCACATCCAGGCATTTAATCTAAGGAAATATTCAGACACAGAAGAAATTTTGTGTAAATTTATGTTTAAATAGGTACTCTGTCCTCTCAAAAGCTTGGAAACAACCCCTGGGTGGCAACAAATAGGCTAAATAACGATACACTCAGCCTCTGCAACACTGTGGAGCCATTAAAACCATGCTAGAAGCACAGTATTTAGTTACTTTTTTAAAAAAAAAGCACAGAGAAGAAAACGAGAAGAAAATACACAAATTTTAATAATAGCTTATTTTTTGAGTATTGAGTTTACAGTTGATTTTTAAAAATTCACTATTTCTGCTTTTCTCTATTTTCTATATTTCCTACACTAAAAAATATTATTTTTATCATACAAGTCCTTTGAAGTAAAGGAGTGAAGATTCACATCAGTTGCCTCTAAGGGTTAGGTGTACTCTGGAGTATAATTATGGCTAAATGACCTTGGCTGTGTATCTAGCCCTTGTAAGAGCATAGGTTATCTGTAGAACTGGATATCAGAAACATTTGTATGTATTCCGGAATTTGGAAGGTTGTCCAGAATCCTGCAAAGCTCTAGTGACCTACTCATTTCTTTATCCCCACCAACCCCTCAACACCGAGAGTTCCCTACCTGTCTCCCACCATAATAGGGATTCTCTTACCTCCCCTATTCTGTTTCAGTTTCTGCCTCTTACCACCAATGGCTTCACTCTGATTAATGGCCATTAAATCTGGCTAACAGTCTTGAGTTTAAACTCCTGAATAAAAAAAAGACCTCATTGGTCTCATTAGTCATAGTCAAAGGGATGGAGTTGGTTCCCACTTGGCATTTTCCCAGAACACAATTTCATACGTATCTCCCTCCCCGTATGTGGTTTATCCTTGGTTCAGAAACTCATTTCTTCTGCAGTCACATTTGGCCAAGATAGTGTGGCAGCCTGGTGACTTCTGCATTCAACAAATATAAAAATCAGTGGGGAAAGCACAAAATCTTTTTTTTAATTATCTTAAATTATGCTTCTTCCCCAATAATACATCTTTTAGATGTGCTTTTAGTTTTCTAATATTCTTGCTATCCCATAAGTTTAGTTTTGTGAGTTAATCATAGAAATTTTTGAGTTCAGGAATAGATTTTTAAAAACAAATTTCCTCTTATTGGTATATATTCTTAGAGTTTAATCTGCCTCCTGCAATAGCTGTTAAAACCTCATTTGTCTAGTGTCATGTACTGTTTATAGTTTGGCAGTGAGAACATAAGTCTGGTTCAGGTCTTTGTGGCAAAGGAAGGAAATGGTTTTTAGTATTATTGTTTGTTTAAGAATATGTTTCCAGTTTCAGGCTCCTGCATTTTGTTCTGCTCATTTCGTTCTTGTTCTGCAATTTTGATTTTTCCTAATATCTTCTTGAGCTAATTTTTAAAAAGTAAACAGAATCTATAGCTATGTCGTTTATTATTCAAAGAAGTGCTATGTATGAAATTTTAATTCTGTTCCATTCTTTCTTTAATCAAGGGACATAAAACTATATATTTTAAAAAATAATTATTCCTTAAATCCTTAAAGAATAATTATTCAATTTGATTTTTTAAACCACACATTATGAACTCATTCTGATATTTGAGGCAATTTTTAAACAGCTTTATTTGTAGCTATGTTTTAAGAGGACTGATTAAAGTGAGGTAGCTTGTTTAACTGGACAATTTCTTGGTATGTAAAGGATAGCTCTACTCTCTACCATATTCACAAGAGGAAGTTTTACCTATTTATAATTCCTTCAAAGTACTAAAAATAATAAAAATGGATTCATTGTCACAGCATAGCTATAACCATCCCTATAAGTCATACTCATTTTTTTTCCTGTTGTATGGGTTAATCAGACTTTTGCCCAATTAAAGTCAAAATACATATGTATAAAAAAAACCCAAGAAATCATTTTAATATGTGAAAATTAGAGCAGACTGCATTACTACCATTATGTAACAGAAGTAAACCCAGTATTGAGCCTCTTACTTGATGTGTCTGCTGAAATTTCTGGGAATCTTCTGAAATTGTATGGAACTTTTTATGCTTGTATGAACGTGTGTATTTGGGAGAGAGTTTTTGATTAGATTCTCTTAAGGAATCTTTAGTAAAGGTTAAGAACTCCTATTCTAAACAAACCCCCTCTCACTAAGTTGGTCTTCTTTTTTCCAAAACATCCTGTCTCTGCCAGTCCCATGCTTGTCGTCTCTACTTCTCTAGTCCTCTCCTGAGATCTTCCTCTTGCCCTGCCATCCTAGGGTCCAGCCTTATCCATAAGGCATCACATAGGGCTCCAGTGCTTAGAAGTGCTGTCTTTGAGTTACTCTCCCATTCATTTGACAATTTAGTTGCTCTGAACTGTATGGTTATTTTTTCACATATTGTTCCATACTCCCACATCCCAGACAATGAAATACATCACAAAAAATACAAGATAATAGTAGTAAAATAAAATGTGTCACTAGGAGAACTGTCTTTATCCTTCTGCATTCCAAGTTAATAAATTACACCCTACACATACTCTGATTGCACAGTGTCTACCCTGATTGTTCCCAGTAATGCACTGCCACAGCCAAGTCCTGCATTAGATGCTATTTCTTTTTTTTTTTTTAAGATTTTATTTATTTATTCATGAGACACACACAGAGAGAGAGAGAGAGAGAGAGAGAGACAAAGACATAGGCAGAGGGAAAAGCAGGCTCCATGCAGGGAGCCTGACGTGGGACTCGATCCTGGGTCTCCAGGATCACGCCCTGGGCTGAAGGCAACACTAAACCGCTGAGCCACCCGGGCCGCTAGATGCTATTTCTTGATAGCCTCAGGAACCTTTACAGAAAGTATAAAATGAAAAACTTAAATTGGGTTAATCATTCATCCAGGTAGGAGGTATTTTTCTTAGTCCTGATTCAATGAGTCCTTATGGTTTTTTTTTTTTTCCTCTATTGCCAGTGGAGCGAACCATGCTAGACTTTCCTCAGCATGTCTCTTCTGACAAAGAAGTGCGGGCAGCAAGTACAGAAGCAGACAAAAGACTTTCTCGTTTTGATATTGAGATGAGCATGCGAGAAGATATATTTCTGAGAATTGTTCATTTACAGGTAAATGATATTATAAATCCCTTTAAGAATTGATTGGTTAATTAGAGTGAGAGAGTGCATACAAGCAAAAGGGGCAGAGGAAGAAGGAGAGACTCTCAAGCAGACTCCCTGCTGAGCACACAGCCCTTCTTGGGGATTGATCTCATGACCTGAGTCGAAATCAAGAGTCATATGCTGGGATCCCTGGTTTGGCGCCTGCCTTCGGCCCAGGGCATGATCCTGGCATCCCAGGATCGAGTCCCATGTCGGGCTCCCTGCATGGAGCCTGCTTCTCCACCTCTCTCTCTCTCTCCCTGCCTCTCTCTGTCTCTCTCTCTCTCTCTCTCTCTGTCTCTCATGAATAAATAAATAAAATCTTAAAAAAAAAAGTCAGATGCTTAACCGACTCAGCCGCCCAGGTACTCCAATGTTATAAATCCCTTTAAAAAGAAAACAAAAGGGGATCCCTGGGTAGCGCAGCGGTTTAGCGCCTGCCTTTGGCCCGGTGCGCGATCCTGGAGACCCGGGATCGAATCCCACGTCAGGCTCCCAGTGCATGGAGCCTGCTTCTCCCTCTGCCTGTGTCTCTGCCCCTCTCTCTCTCTCTCTCTCTGTGTGACTATCATAAATAAATAAAAATTTTAAAAAAAGAAAAAAAAAAAGAAAAAATCTATAATAAAAAAGTAAAAATCTTTGACCAACAATCAAAAGTATCTGAAAGTTTCTAGATTTTGTTTTTAATTATTATAATAATGGGCACAGTGTTATATATTGTTATACCATAGATTGTTATATTACACCATATTGTTATAATAATAGCACAGTGTTATATATTGTTATACCATAGATTTATGTTGAGTTGCTGTTCACGTTCAGCACTAAAGACCAGGTATAAAAACGTGTACAGCTATAAATCTAAGGATTTTTGACCATCTTGAACATAATGGTTCGATGTAAAAACCTCTTTGAATTTCTGGAATGTTGCAAGGTTTATATTAGATCAGGTCAGCTACAACCAAATGGGATTGTGAGTTGTTTACCTATAAATATTATGTGGTTTGGGCCATGATATTGATGACATACTGTTGATACTACCCACCACAGTCATTCCTGTCTATCATCCTTATGTTTTTCAGGACTCACAGAAATTATGGATAATGAATATTTTAAGTTAGGGTCTGCCTTGAGGGTTTTTGATCTTTTCATCACCAATGTTGATTTGTTTCCCAGCATTGTCATTATGTTTTTGCTTTGAATTTTTATTTTCATGATGCTCAGCACTTTGTTTGAAAAACAACCATTGTTTTATAATCCTAGACATTTTTGTTTAATTTTGCATGTGTCTTTATGCAAAATCTCAAATTTTGTTCTTTTTAGCAAATTATGACAAGAATTGAGGTAAAACAGCAGTTTTGTTTCAGATGTTTTATTTGTGACATACTAAAGAATATGTAATTAAGACTTTATTTAGACATGTGAGATGTACATGCTGTCTCTTCTCTCATGTCAGACAGGCACTGTGATTTATATTCATCTGTGTGGTTCAAAGCTGTTCATCTTAGCACTATAAAAATAACATAAATTGTAATAATTTTATGAGTGTTCTTTATTAGCTACATTGTTTCGTTTTCTTCTTTTGACCCCAGTTATTAATTCTGTGTGATTCAAATCATGGCCCTTACGGTCTTATATTTTTTATTTCCTTAAAAAATCTGATTTCCTTTCTAGCTCTATATTATATATGTATTTCAAAACCTTTTCCCAGAATTTCTAATTTCCTTTGATGAACTCTGTTTCCATTCTGACTTATAAGTTTTCATTTGGGATTTTCAAGCCTTAAAAAGATATCACAATCCTAATGTAATATGTTGTATTAATGTTTTTCTCTGATCTTTATGAATGTTAGCAAGATACAGTAGGTTTGTCACTTTAGATTTCTTTGTTATACTTTTAAATTTGGGAACAAACTGCTGCCTATATAGTATGCTAGTAAAATATACCAGATAGATACCAGTGCATTCATCATATTTGTCCATTTGTTTGGGCTGGTTCACTCAAAGGTTTTTTTTGTTTGTTTGTTTTAAGATTTATTCATTTATTCATGAGAAAGAGAGAGAGGCAGAGACACAGGCAGGGGGAGAGGCAGGCTCCTCGCAGGGAGCCCGAGTCTCCAGGGTCTCCAGGATCACACCCTGGGCCCAAGGCAGTGCTAAACCGCTGAACCACCCAGGCATCCCTCAAAGGTTTGTTTTTGTTTTTGTTTTTTTCCTCAAAGGTTTTATTGTAATAATTTACGGTAGTTTTAGAGTTGCTTCCATCATTTTTTTTCTTTTTTTTCCAAAGGAGTAATTATTATCATACCTGTCCATTGTTGTGCAACCGTTTTTAGAAGCTTTTACAATATCTGTTAGGACTAGATCGGAATAATAAAAAAATAACTGTTGTGGGTTTTTTAATCACTGGAGCTTACTTAGTGAATTTAGTTCCCTTTAAACACATTCCTTGACAAATAGATGCATTTATTTAGGTAGTATTTATTTTATTTTAATTCCAGTATAGTTGACATACAGTGTTAAATTAGTTTCAGGTATACTATATAGTGACTCAGAAATTCTGTATATTACCCAGTATTTAGGCAGTACTTTTTAAAATCTAAAACTATCAGTATGAGTTCTGTGCTAGCATTGGACAGTTTAACAAATGATAAATCTCATCACATTCATACCTAAAAGATAAAGTTAGGGGTACCTGGGTGGCTCAGTTGGTTAAGCAGCCAACTCTTGGCTTAGGTCATGATCTCAGGGTCATGAGACCCAGGCCCATGTTAGGCTCTATGTCAGGTGTGGAGCCTGCTTAAGATTTTTTCCCTTATCCTCTGCTCCTCTCCTTGCCTTTTCCGGCCCACTTATGTGCACTTGCACATACACTCTCCCTATAAAAAAAAAATTATTTTTAAAAAAGACAAAGTTAGATAGATCTAAGTATTCTATTTATATTTCTCTGTAATGTTGTAAGTAAAACAGAGCAACCATGGTGTAATACATAACCCCTTCATTAAGCTGGGTGATAGGATTTTAAATTTATGTGAAGTCAGCAATTTCAGCATGATCTACTAAAATGAGAATGCTCTGAATAATACTGAGGTCTCAAGATACCACGAATGTAGATAATAATCTATAATATTCTTAATTCGATATAAGATGTTATTTTAGCTATCATCTTATTCTTCACTTAGGATTGATGATAAAAATATGAAATTATTTTTCACAGTTCTTTATGCAAAATCTATGCTCAGTAAGGCTTCTAGTGATATACTGATATATAACCTATTACTTCAGAACTTACTGGCTGAATATAGCAGCAATCATTTTGTATTCTGTCACAGTTTCTGTGGATCAGGAATTCATAAAGAAGTCATTTGGAGGGATGCCTGCGTGGTTCAGTGGTTGAGCGTCTGCCTTTGGCTCAGGGCATGACCCTGAGGTCCTGGGATCGAGTCTCACATCAGCCTCCCTGCATGGAGCCTGCTTCTCCTTCTGCCTGTGTTTCTGCCTCTCTCTCTGCACCTCTCATGAATAAATAAATAAAATCGTAAAAAAAAAAAAAGTCAGTTTGATAGTTCTGCCTTGGGGTCTTGCATGCATTTAAGTGGTGGCTGAAGCTGAAGTGTGTAGAGGCCAACCAGACATCTTTCTCTTCATGTTATGTCAGGGCATCTCCTTGTTGTCTCTATACATGGACTAATTTGGACTTTCTCATAGCATGGCGGCATCAGGGTAGTAAGATTTGTTTCATGGAAACTCAGAACTCTGACAAGGGTGTTTCAACAAACTACACAGAGGCAACATTACATTTTATGACCATTTTGGAGGTCACATAGCATCACTTTGGCCATACTGTATTGATTGACGAGTCTCTACAGTCTGCCCAAATTCAAGAGACAGTGCATCTCCATCTAAGAAGTATCAACTAATTTGCAATTATTTTTCAAAACCTCCAAAATAAGTCCTGTGGTGACTATAGATGGATGAAATTACAATAGAGCTTGAGACTAGCATACCATAGTCTTCCTACCTCCTCCCTAATTTGTGGTTAGTAGTTTACATTGGCACAACATTGTAGTTATCTAATTTAACTTCTTCTTTTTTTTTTTTTTTTAAGATTTTATTTATTCATGAGAGACACAGAGAGAGGCAAAGACACAGGCAGAGGGAGAAGCAGGCTCCATGCAGGGAACCCAATGTGGGACTCGATCCCAGGTCTCCAGGATCATGCCCTGGGCTGAAGGCAGTGCTAAACTGCTGAGCCACTCGGGCTGCCCTAATTTAACTTTTATACCAACCTTGTGAAGCATCCCTCTTTATAAATAGATATGCTGAAGCTCAGAAATAGTAACCTCCCAGGAGCCACAGAGGTAATTATTCATGAAACTAAAGTGAGGAACATTTGGTGACAGATCTAAAAGATAGGACTTCAGTAATTGTTGCTAGGACATGGGTTATCTATATAGGAAAAGGAAAAATTGGATCTCCTACTCACAATCAAACAGAGAAACAAGTTCTAGAAGTTTATATAGGAATAAATCTTTATGACACCTGAGCAGGGATATATTTGTTGAACAAGACACCAAAATGCTAACTGTAAAATGTAAGGCTGATAAACATGACTACATTAAAATAAAGAACTTAGGAGGTACCTGGGTGGCTCAGTTAGTTAAGCATCCAACTCTTGCTTTTGGGCTCAGGTCATGATCTCGTGGTCCTAAAATCAAGCCCTGACTTGGGCTCCCTGCTCATCAGGGAAATTGCTTGAGGATTCTCTCCCTCTCCCTCTGCCCTTCTTCCCGCTGTTAGTGTGTGTGTGCTCTCTCTCTAAAATAAATAAATCTTAAAAAAAAAGAACTTCTATTAATAAAATCAAAAGACACTAATACTAACAAATACTGAAATATGTAAATACTAAATTAAGAAATTTGTAAAATATGGAACTAGAAAAACATTTGTACCTAGGATATATAAAGTACTACTATAGTCAATAAAAAAAAAGGCCAACATTCCAAAAGAAAAATAGGCAAATGACATGAAAAGATATTTTAGGAGAAAGACAAATGACAAACATGAAAAGATATTCAGTCTCATTAATAATTGGGGAAATACAGGGATTCCTGGGTGGCTCAGCGGTTGGGCCTCTTGTCTTCAGCCCAGGGCGTGATCCTGGGGTCCCGGGATCGAGTCCCACATTGGGTTCCCTGCATGGAGCCTGCTTCTCCCTCTACCTGTGTCTTTGCCTCTCTCTGTGTCTCTCATGAATAAATAAAATCCCAGGAATCCCTGAACTCATTTTTCTAAATGATATTCAAAGAAATATACCATCTTAAATTTTCAGGGTTCTTTTAACAATATTGTGGTTTCTTCTTTATATACACAATATGGAAAATCCCACTGGAATTATCTTTTATTTATATATTTTAGAAGCTGAAATGGAAGGTCTTGCAAAGAAAAGAACAGTCATGGGATAGAAGGTGGGGAGGAGGGACGCCTGGGTGGCTCAGTGGTTGAGCGTCTGCCTTTGGTTCAGGGCCTGATCCTGGAGACCTGCAATCGAGTCCCACGTTGGGCTTCCAGCATGGAGCCTGCTTCTCCCTCTGCCTGTGTCTCTGCCTCTCTCTCTGTGTGTGTCTCTCATGAATAAATAAATAAAATATTTTAAAGAAAGAAGGGGAGGATTGCAGAGAAATTAAGAAAATGTTCACTGATTTATAATAAAATTCTAAAGAATGATAATAAATCAAGGTATAATCTAGTGGTATAATATATTGGGGAAAGTACCAAAGTAAGAATTTATAAAATGTATTTCTATGCATTTTTACTAATCAATAGCTGAGTGAACTAAGAAGATCATTTAACTTCAGTTTTCTTGTTTATAAAATGAGTATACGAGCATATGTGTCAGTGTATGTGTGCACATGTGCCCACATTCACACTTTCATGTGAAGCCTCTTTGTTACAGGAGGAGAATAGGAAGAAACTAAATCTCCTCACCACAGAGATTAAAGTAAATCCGAGCCTCTACTGTCAGATTATATAAACTGGAAAATTTCTCAAGGGCACGTTAGGCCTTCCCCCACCCCTAACGAGGAGAAACTTCACCCAAGGAGGTCTGAGACCTGGTTCAGATTCAAATGGATTAAATTCTTATTCAGGAAGGAAGATGCAGTTACCACAGAGCAGTCCAGAGTATTGGCTACTTTGCTCCTAGAAAATCCTTACGCAGTGATTCTGCTCTTGCCTGGAGATTATAAGGGAGAATATTTATATGATCAGCTCAAGAATGTGCTTTAGAAGCACATATCAGAAGTGCTCTCCTCCTACGAGAGCCCTCCAGAGATTTCTGAGGCCTCAGAGTCTGACTGGCAGATGATGCCTGGTTACAGTTGAGTCAGATTTTGTTAAGGGTCATTTTTGTGGTAAGTCAAACATTTCAGTACAGATAATTAGTCATTTTTTTAAATTAGACCTAATTTGGGGCAGATTTTTCTCAGAACATCCTTGTACCTGTTGATGCCCGTCTTACCTTTTTAGGGAGTCGGTCGTTTTTACCCAGTCAAGACCAGGAGTTTGAGTTTACTCTGCCGAGTATGCTTCTGGGCTTTCTGAAGGACCAGCTCTGTACTCCAGAGATACAGCGGGGCCGGGCACTCCTAGCATGTGAGCCCTTCCTGACCGAGCAGAGCAAAGAGGGAGAAATCTGCTCACGGCAGCTGGTGGGCCTTGCAGTGAGCCTCTGTTCTAAGCTCAGGGCCCTGGTGACCAGGTGAAGCCAGGAACCCGAGGCCCTGGTACACTGCTGCCCAGCATTGTGCCCGACTTCCCCCGTGGCTCACTGCCCTGCAGGGAAGGCCTTCTGCTCTGGCTCTGGGCCTGCTTATTTGGGCCCCTCACAACTTACCCAGCTCTCCCCAGACCCTCCTCATGGGGAACTTTTTTTCCTCTGCTACACATAGCTCTCGCCTAGATGCTCCCCAACCTTACAGCATCCAGTATTATACCTTCTAGAAACTCCAGTTGCTGTGCCCCACACCTCAGGACATACTTCCTGGTGCTGTTAAAACCAGCCTTGATCAACCCAGGTTAATCACATGCCCCTGAACTCTGTGATTCGAACGGCTAGCCATCCCTGAGGGAGCCGGCCCACAGCCCTGTTCTCTCCCTGGCCATTAGGGGTTTCTTCCCACTGCAGGCACGTGCTGCTGGGATCCCAGTGTGTGCCAATATCAGTTAGGGGGAGTTCCAACTCCAGTCATGCCAGCATGCGCAGAAGTTCTCCAAGGATATAAAAGAAGGTTATAATGGAAAAAGGAGTCTAACTGTTCTCTGCCTCCACTGTGAACAAACGCAGAGGAAACTGTGAGTAATGTATGCACAAAAGTGCTTAAGTACTTAGGACCTACGATTTTGTATTGGTAGGCAAAGTGAGATACGGATTGCTGTATCGAGTAGTACCTTTAGTTAAAATACAACTATTTGAGGGCACCTGGGCAGCTCAGTCAGTTAAGCATCGGCCTTTGGTTCAAGTCGGGATCTCAGGGTCCTGGGATTGAGCCCTGAGTAGATCTCCCTGCTCAGAAGAGAGTCTGCTTCTCTCTGTGATTTCCCTCTGCTTCTACCTCTTACTCATATGTTCTCTCTCTCTCTCCCAAATAAATAAATAAAATATTTTTAAAAATAAAATACAGCTATTTGCCTGTTGTCATAAAATATGAAAAAAAGCTGCAGAATGATTACAGCAAAAGCCTTACACCAGCAATCTAAAATGCATGTTCTGAAGCTAAAACTTTGTTCCTTCAAAGATATCTTTAGTTGGGAAAATATAAAACTCAAGGGTGGGCAGCCCAGGTCTTGATGGAGAGAGAGTGCACCCAATGGTAGGTCTCTAAGGCTCTAGAGACACGTGTCCCTTATTGGCTCTCACCCAGGCTGAATCCATTACACCTGCTGAGTCCGTCTGGCGTCCCCATTTCCTCCCAGGGACCATGAACTGACCAGCCACCCAGATGTGCCATGTCTGTCCTGCCACCTGTTTTGAGAAAACATCTGGTATTTTTATTAGCTTGCTTTTGCCAGGGGAATTCTCCATTCTTTTGAGTGACGTTGTTTTGCTCCTGCCTACAGGTTCAAATGTTCTGTCCAGCTTTCCTCCTTTTTGTGCAGTGTTGACTCATTTTCCCAGATAGTTGTTCATATGCTGCTTGCTGTAGTCTCTTGATCTCTCTTGCCAAACGACAGTAAGGCGTTTTTGAAGTGTTGGAAGCCTTTGGCTGGGGTTTTAATCCAGCTGTCCTTGTTTGGTATGTTGGCAAAAGAGTCCCATTCTCCATTTGTGTAGAATTTGCCCATTATTTCTATTCCTGCCTCTCAAGTGGAACCAGGTTAGCAAATGATAGAAAATTAAATCCAGATGATTCGTGATAAGGAATACGTTCTTTGAAAAAGACCATGGTCATAGAGAATACTCAGAATGAGATTATGCAAATATTTCTATTATCACACTTTCAAGTGGTACAGGCATTTTTGATTCTGATGTGAGGCGAGGCAGTTCTGTTTAGCTTTTTTATTTATTTAATTTTTCCCTTTTAAATGAGCAAAGCTCACTAAAGCATAAAAGAAATTAGGTCTTCAAAAGAGCCTGCCTCGTAATCACCTGTGTGCTTCATAGCCCAACAGAGATGATGAATAAATTTGCTTTGGTCTCATAGTTTATAATTTACCCATGCACTATTGTAACAGAAATGGTTGTCATACCCTTTCATTTCAGGAAACATCTGATCTGAGTAAGATAAAACCTGAAGCCAGGAGATACTTGGAAAAGTCAATTAAAATGGGAAAAAGGAATGGGCTCCATCTTCCAGAACAAGTTCAAAATGTGAGTTTATGTTTCTTTTTTCTTATTTGAAAAAAAAGAATAAATAAAATACAACAGAAAACAGGTTGGAAAACAACACATTTGTATTATGGAAAATAATACATAATACAAATCCATTTCCAGTGTATTTGGTAGTCAGTGGTTTTAAATTCTACAACTCCTTTCAACCTCATGGTGACTGACAACTGATAATCAGAATTTTTAATCCTATGCAAATTACATTTGTTTCCTATGTGCTGGGCTTATTTTCCGTTCTCCATTTTATATTTCCTTATGGCTATTTCCAGGTCTTAGTAGTTGATTTGCACTCTCACTCCCATGGTCATTGGTAAGAAAATTTTTATGATAGAGAGTTTTAATACAAGCACTTTGGAGTGGAATACCCTAGGATTAATATAGTTCACCCTTGAACATCCTGGGGGTTGAGATAACAATTCCCCTGCACAGTCAAAAATATCCACACTTCTTACTCCCCAAAAACTTAATAGCCTGCTATTGACCAGAAGCTTTACCCATAACATAGTTGATTTACATGTATTTTGTATGTTGTATGTATTATATATTGTCTTAAAGTAAGCCAGAGAAAAGAACTTATTATTGAGGAAATCAAAAGGAAGAGAACATACATTTATAGTACTGAACTTTATTTACTGAAAAAATATCTATATATAAGTGGCCCTGGACCATTCAAATCCCTGTTGCTCAAGGGCCAACCGAATATGAGGACACATTAGCTACTGAAAAGTGCTCCTCAAACTTTTTCTTGTCTGATGCTGATCCTGTCTTCCATTATCAGAAGTAAACTCAGCTACAGAATTAAATCATTTTTCTTGGACAGGAAATACAACCCTGTATCTGTTTCCAAGTCATTCTTCTAAACAGTAGAACAGGAAACAAGTGTGAAAGATAGCCAAACCAAGTGATGTCAGCCTAGTAGATATAACTGAAGGTACTACTGAGATACAGGTACCTTTCTGTCACCTAAACGCCCTTTGAATACCTTGTATCTTCCTCAACCTAGTTAGAGAAATGTGACTGATCTGACTTATGTAATTTACCTTATGTCTTCCGGGTCACTCATCATTTCTGTTTGGGGCATTGTATTAGTTGAAATATGTTTATTTACAATTGATAAAACCCTGTTGACTCAGTTTAAACAATAGAAAAGACTTATTTGCTTGTATAACTAGAAGATCCACCATCCAAAAGGACATAGTGTCAAACTTCCTCTCATGTCTTAATGGCCTGCATTGGATCATATGCCTAATCCTGACTCCCCTTTTAGTCAGGAGAATGCCAGGCCTTGCTAATCAGAACCAGTCAGTACTACAGTGGGGATGGGATTACCTGAATGGTATAGGGTCACATCCCTGAAATTTCAGATAGGATCAGGTCCCACCCAAACTACATGGCTAATGTAGAATGGGGGAGAGGTGGAAGGGAGCTTGAGGTGATAACCCAAGTGTCCAAAACCAATACTGCACAGTATGTGTTAAGTCAGCAGACTCAAATTAAGTGTGCACCAGAATTATCAGGTTATTCTTGTAAACATTAGAAACAGGAAACCAGTGTGAAAGACATCCAAACCAAGTGATGGTTTACAGCAAAACTGTTAAAGCTCTGAGTACAGAGTCCCACCTCTGAGAGTTTGTGTTTTAGTTGGTTTGGTTTGGGTCTCAAGAATATACATTTCTAACAAACTCCCAGGTGATGTTGGGGTCAGGGCCATGCTTTGAGAACCATTATGGTTCCTGAAATTTCATTATCCAGCATCTTTAGAATATAAGACAGATTAATATAAACATTTAATGTTTTTTCTTGTGGTTTCCTTTTTTGCCTCCTCTGATTTCTCACCTAATATTTTTTATGCAAATGTTAAGGCCCCTATTACCTTAGTTTACAAAAGTCTATAAAACTAAGACACAGCCTTTTTTCCAAAACAACCATAAAATTAATTATCTGTTTACTTCAGCACCAAATGTTGATTTCTACATTAAGACTCTGAATTGGAAAAGATTAGAAATATGTTAATTAGGGGTGCCTGGGTGGCTCAATCAATTGGGCATCTGCCTTCGGCTCAAATCATGGTTCCTGGGTAGTGAGATCAAGCCCCATATCGGGCTCCCTGTTCAATGGGGAATCGGCTTCTCCTTCTCCCTCTGACTCTCCCCCTTGCTCGTGCATTCTCTCTCTCACTCACTCAAGCTGTCTCTCTGTCTTTCTCAAATTAATAGATAAAATGTTTTTAAAAAAATAATTTGGGATCCCTGGGTGGCGCAGTGGTTTGGCGCCTGCCTTTGGCCCGGGACGTGATCCTGGAGACCTGGGATCGAATCCCACGTCGGGCTCCCGGTGCATGGAGCCTGCTTCTCCCTCTGCCTGTGTGTCTCTGCCTCTCTCTCTCTCTGTGTGTGACTATCATGAATAAAGATTAAAAAAATAAAAATAAAAATAAATAAAAAATAAAAAAATAATTTTAGGGCAGCCCCAGTGGCGCAGCAGTTTAGCGCCTCCTGCAGCCTAGGGTGTGATCCTGGAGACCCGGGATCAAGTCCCACATCGGGCTCCCTGCATAGAGCCTGCTTCTCCCTCTGCCTGTGTATCTGCCTCTCACTCCCTCTGTGTCTCTCATGAATAAATAAATAAAATCTTTAAAATAATAATAATTTTTAAAAAGAAAGAAAAATGTTAATTATTAACAGGCTACTACATTCATTCGTTCACCCAACAACTATTTACTATCTGTATGTACTCTGTACCAGAGTCCGCTTCAATTATACCTACTAAGTTTATTTAGTTCTTACAAGTTAGTTCTTATGACTAATTTCTAACACATCACTGGGATTGCCTTTTGTAGGTGTTGCATACAGATACTCATGTTGCATACTGATACTCTGTATCAGATACTCATACAGATACAGATACTGCATAGAAGACTTCAAGAAACTATTTTATGAAACACATCTTTAAAAAAACACTTCCTGCAGGCTGGACATAGAAGCCAATCTTCATGTAAAAGTGAAACTTGTTTGAATAATGGCATTAAAAATGAAAGTTTCGGGCAGCCTGGGTGGCTCAGCGGTTTAGGGCGCCTTCTGCCCAGGGTGTGATCCTGGAGTCCCGGGATCAAGTCCCACATGGAGTCCCTGCATGGAGCCTGCTCCTCCCTCTGCCTGTGTCTCTGCCTCTCTCTGTGTGTGTGTCTCTCATGAATAAACAAAATCTTTTTTTAAAAAATGAAATTTTTGTCTTATTGTTAATATTCTATATCTGTATCTTCTGTTTAGGAAATCAAAGCAATGAAGAAAAGAGTGAGTGAGCTATGTATTGACTTCAACAAAAACCTCAATGAGGATGATACCTTCCTTGTATTTTCCAAGGCTGAACTTGGTAAAATTCTGTTTGTTTGTTTGTTTGTTTGTTTTTTCTGGTTAAATAGTATAATTTAGAGAAATAATGTTACCTCACCATTTGCCAAATCAAAGTTGAAAGAATTCTTTAAAAAATGATCAGGTATTTTTCTAGAGAACTCATCACCCCTTCAACAAAAAAGACAACCAAAGCATGCCTAGATTTTATTCTAATAAGAGTATATACTATTTCTAGAGATAATCCAAAGGAGATTTCATATTTCCTGGTAACTTATGCTAGTGTTTAACAGCCTTCAGTGCCTTGAAATTTTTTGCTTTATAATATCTCCTACAGTGTAACTTTAAGTAGTTTGTGCTTAATCTGTTCTGAATCTTTTGTGGCTTAGCTTTGCCTGTTCCCCATCAAAACACCATCTGTACAAGTGCACTGAAGCCTATTCATATTCTGAATTACCATCTCCTAAGCCACCATCCTCTGATCACCACCCCCATTCTAGTAACATCAAAATGATATTATAAGGATTATCATTATTTTACTTGAATCTCAGTTACTTCACAGAATTCCTAGAGCTTCTTAAAGGCACCATGCCAATTGCTAAATACACTAATAATGAGTAGAAAAATAGATGAATGAGAAAATGATTTTTTGCAGGTGCACTTCCTGATGATTTCATTGACGGTTTAGAAAAGACAGATGATGACAAGTATAAAATTACCTTAAAATATCCACACTATTTTCCTGTCATGAAGAAATGTTGTATCCCTGAGACCAGAAGGAAGATGGAAATGGCTTTTAATACAAGGTGCAAAGAGGTACTCTGAATGTCTTGTCTTTCTTTTGTTTTTGTGGAAGATTTTAAGAAATGGGTTTCCTTTGTTTACCCATGTTGACATCAGCTCAGAGACCAATATGCCTAGTTGTGTATTATGCCTCCTAATTTCTTAAAGCTTTTAACTTTCTCCTTGCTCAATGGCAGCCTTGGTGTGGCCACATCATAAGCTGTTTTCATTAAAATAGAATTGGTTAAATAAACAAAAGTTGTATTCTTTTACCAAGTCAGAAGTCTAGGCCTCTCTGTCTCAACAAATGACTTCCAAGGCCATACCAGCTCTCATCATGTCCCAGCCTTTAGGGAAGAGGGAAAATAAAGCACCTTTAAGAAGACCTTGAAATGATGTACGTCAACTCCATTCAGATCCCATTGACTCAGATTCCATCATCTTGCCATATCTAGCTGCAGGGGAACGGGGGGGAATGTAGTCTCTGGTTGACAGCCATGTGCTTAGCTGAGGAGATTCCACTGCCAAAAGGAAAAAAGGAAGAATTAAAAATGCCTTCTGAGAGTCAGCTGGCTAGTTCCTCCACAGTCTGCCTCTCGGGCCCTCCAGATAACTGTGAGCACCTTTTTGCCACACCTAGAACCCACTCACCATATGTCAAATCGTAACCAGTTAACTGCCTCGAGCTCAAAGACAAGCCTGTCTGGAGTCCTCCCCACTTGTAGCTTCCTCATGATCTAGCAACTTATGAAAGAGAGAGCATGTTGTCTGATCTGTTCATCCCCAACACACACACGCACTGATGGGTTAGGAACGCAGTATCCACACTAAAAACTCCTGTTTGGAAAAAAGAAAGAATGGGAGACATATGGCAGGCCCATACCAATTTTCAAAAACTGGCAGAAATTGTGAGGATTCCTTGCTTTGATGAAGGTCCTTGGATAGCTCCTTAAAGTTACTTTTTTTTTTTTTCCCTAGCAGTAATTAGCAATTGTACCGCGCGATCCCTGATTTTGCCTGCCAGGAATTCTTTCTTGTCTGTTGCCCTCTAGGACCAAATCCTGGGCAGCTACTAGTCAAGATTCCTGCCCATGCTGGTTTGAAGCCTGAGGATTGCTTTAGGGATCAAATAACCACAAGCTTTTGTAGGCCAAGTTCATGATGCCTTTGGTAATATAATTCCCTCAAAAATGTAGTAAGTGTCTTGTCTGTTTGCTTCCAGTCAGATTCAGATTAAAATGATTATACCCAAGTAGTACTTTTGGTCAGTAGTTCCTAAGTCTTCTAGATTTTTTTATATTGGCTCCTGTATCTTGTCCATCTTGCTTTAATAGAGTCTGCTATGGGGCCTTCTGAAACAGTAGGCTTGAGGAAGAAGACAGTATTCTCAAACTACTCTCTGTAATTCAATAACTCTAAGTGAGTCTTTTCTCTTGATCCTAGGAGTACAGAGCGATGGCTCCCCCAGACATCTGAGGTCCTAGATTGTAAGCCATGGACAAAACCTTGGTTAATAGAAGTCTTTTCCTTCTATCTTTGTAAACTGAACAGTTCTCATTTGAGTTCATCTCATGCAATCTTTCCAAAAGCCACACATAGCAACACACATGCACCAACGTTAGATGTCCCCAACAGTCCCCCTAGGACTAAGACTTAGTAGGTAATTGTCCTGCCTTCCAAGTTATGATATGAAATCATTTTAACAAATGTTACCCATGGTATAATGAGGATTGCTAGCTTCCTAGCCTGCTGTGTCTCTGTTCCCACCTTCTACTCCTGTACATTTTTTCATTTTTCTTATGGCAGTACCCTATTCCTAATACCAACCTCTGCGTGTGTGAGGGTACAGGGTAAGCAGCTATACAAAAGCCAACCAACAGTGCAGTGACTCAAATAAGACAAAAGCTATTTCTCTTCAGAAAGGATTAGTGGTTGGCAGAGGCAGGGGACACTGGGGAATTGCTGTTTAATGGTTACCAGGTTTCCAGTTGGGGTGTTGGAAAAGTTTTGGAAACAGATAATAGTAGTGGTTGCCTAATAGTATGAACCGAGTGCAATTAGTGCCACTGAATTAGACACTTAAAAATGGCTTAAATGGGAGTTCCGGCAAGAGTGGGAAGGAGAGTGGACCCCAGAGAGCCCTAAGCAGCTGCACCCCCAGTGGCCCAGTCACCATCACTGTCACCACGTGCAACAAGTGGGGGGAGGTGACCCTGCCCTCACCTCCGCAGCACCACAAGGTCATCACAATGAAGGTGTGGAGAACGTAAAGTGGTTCACTTTAAGAAATTGATGCAGTTCGATCAACAGAAATGAGACCAAGGTGTTTGTATACCAGATTGCCAAAAAGAATCACCCTGGGAAGTACCTGCTTAGTGTAGGAAAGGGAGAGGCTGGAGTCTGGTGTGGGAGGAGGAAAGGGTAGGGAGGCAGCAAAAGTGCCAGGCTGTGGTGGAGCCCCAGCTCAAGGCCATAAATATGCAGCAGGTGATAACTGTTAAAGATGTTCTTCATTGCAGGAGCCTTCCCCATAGTTACCCGCAGAAGTACCAGAATAGTGAGGATGGGGAAGGAGGAGGACTGGGACAGTGCTCCCGAAAGGCAAGCCCCACAGCACCAGACCTCCCATAGACCAAGTTCCCACTTGTCTGTGGGCAGCAACCACTCTTCCAACCCTCGCCCGCAGGGAGAAGCACTGGAGGGCTCTGACCAGCAGACAGGAGAGCAAGGCAGACCAGTGAGACAGTGTGTATGGGGGTTCAGACCATGATCCCACAGGGCTCCTTCTTGACAGAGACAGCCTGAAGTGGAAAGGAAGGAAAATTAAGATGAGGCCCAACATCAACAGCTGCCTCAAGGTCTCTGCCAACTTAACTCCAGTGACCCACACAGATGCTAGAAAACCCCAAACCACAAGATTCCAGAGACAAACTCAGCCAATCTACTTCTGAGAATTGGTAGGCTCGTGAGGCTGGGGGCACTAAGTAAATGCGGTCTTATGGTCTCTACTATCATCCGGTTTAGCTGGCCAACAAGAAGTAGTAAATATGAATTTCCAGCAGTAAGAAATAAACAAGAGATTGGAGCCAAAGACTTTAAGTGCTTGCCTTTTGCCCATTGAGCCGATAAGGAGAACTTCCAATCTGCATTATCTATGCAGCCTGAGGTTTCTATTATTTTTACCTAAAGCTGTCTTTTTTGGTAATGATAAACGGGTTGGGTTGGGTTTGGTTTTTTAGCCTGGTTTTTCTCAATACACCTTTAAAAGTTTTTAAGTTGTTTTGTATCTGGTCAAGTTAAGATTTAAATTTAAGAACCTAATTTTAAATTTGTAATAAAAGTTTACAACTTGATTTTTTTTCAAAGTCAGCAGATGGCAAGCACCTGCTAATAAAAGTCTTAAATAATTTTTTTCAAATGGTTAAAATGGCATTTTTATGTTATATGTGTTTTAACACAATTTCTAAAGGTGTATTTCTCTTGCAACTAACAGTACAGAGGTGAGTGATCCAGAGTTCGAGGAGATAGCTATGCCATCCTTGGTATTGTGGCTTCCACAGTCATTGTTGTCACATGCAGTTCACAGCTGACAAGACAAGCATCTATAAAGAGATAACCCAGGAATTTTACTCATGACCTCTTTGCTAGTCCCTTGTTCCGTTGCATATCATGTGGCCACAGCTAGTTTTAAGAGAGGTTAGGGGAGGTAGTCAAGGTATCATGTGTCCAGCAAAAACTCAGAAAATTCTTTTACTAAAAGAAAGAATGGGGGGAGGGGGATTTTGAGAAAATTGGCAGTCTAGAGAGAAGTCTAGGAAAACTGAAAAAGATGGGAAAAACTCAAACTAGTAAACTTTAGAACTTGAGAAGAGTTATGTATTTCTCTTATCCATATATCCATTCTAGTTTTAAAATAATGAAAATTAGAGTAAATATTTAGTATTTGCTCACGTACCAGGCACTTTTCTGTGCACTTGACATATATTTTGACTTGGGTCTTCGTTATCCCCCTACGATTCAGCTACTTCTATTGTCCACATCTTAAAGATGAGAAACCTGAGGCTTAGAAAGGTTAAAGGACTTAACAAAGGTCAAATAAATAATAAATGGTAGAGCCTAATTAAGAACCTGGATAGACTGACCTCAGTGTGTGATCTTCCTTAGAAACAATTAAATATGATTTAATCATTGGGGTAATTTTTCTTTGACTTCAACATTTATTACTTTCTCCAGGAGATTACTTTTCCTTTTATTATTAAAAAAATAAAGCAATATCATTATTTATATTCTTAATACATACAAAACAAAAACAAAAAAATGTGTAATGATTTGAGATGAATGTTCACATTGCTATGCAACCATCACCACTATGTGTCTTCAGACTTTGTCATCTTTCCCAGCTAAAACTCTGTACCCATTAAATACTAACTCCCAATCTTCTTTTCCCCGACCCCTGGCATTCACTGCTCTATTTTCTGGCTCTATGAATTTGACTCCTCTAGGAACCTTATGTAAGTTGGAATCATACAATTTGTGGACATATTTTGTGGCTGGCTTATTTCACTTAGTGTGATGTCTTGAAGTTTTATCCATGCGCTAGCATTTCTTACCCTTTTAAGACTGAATAATATTCCTTTGTATGTATCAACCACATTTCCTTTATTTATCCATTGATGAACACGCTTCCACCACTTGGCTATTATTCACATAATGTTGTAGTGAACACAGGTGTGTAGATATCTTTTTGAATTCCTGCTTCCACTCTTTGGGATACATACCCACACGTGGAACTGCTGGATCATATAGTAATTATGTGTTTAATTTTTTAAGGAATTACAGTACTATTTTCCACAGCAGCTGTACTTTTTACATTCATATCAGCAGTACACAAAGGTTCCAGATTCTTCACATCCTCACTAACGGTATTTTTCTGTATTATATTCCTTATAATATAGAAATATATGTATTTCATGAAATATATATATTTCATTATATTTCTCTTGTTTCTATAGTAGCCATACTATTGGGTGTGAAGTTAAAGTGGCAAACTAGTGGCTCCTTCGTGGCTCAGTGGTTGAGGTCTGCCTCCGGCTCAGGGCATGATCCTGGGATCATGGATCCATGGGATCCCAGGATCAAGTCCCACATCCAGCTCCCCACAGGGAGCCTGCTTCTCCCTCTGCCTGTGTCTCTGCCTCTCTCTCTGTGTCTCTCATGAATAAATAAATAAAATCTGTAAAAAAAAAAAAAAGTGGCAAACTAGTGTTTATATATATTTATAATACCAAAAACAAATTTAAGTATCATATTTGTTGCAGTCTTATCAATGAAATTAAATGTGGAATCACTGTAGTCCTTAATATTTTTCACTCTTAAATTTGTAATACCTAAAATTTTATTAAGACCTCATAGCAACCTCCTGAGGGTTAAAAAGTCGGTTATTTCAGAAATAAAACTCAATCATAGCTTTTAAAAAAAAAAAGTTAACACTATAGTAATTTATTCAGAGGTGAGATGGTTTAAAAATACCTGACGGTTTTGCCAACCTAAAAATACATGTAATAACCCTCTTTTAATGCTTTGGATCCAATTAATGATGAATCTTTGTTTTTGTTGTTGTTGTTTACTACTAGGAAAATACCGTAATCCTGCAGCAGCTACTCCCACTGCGGGCCAGAGTAGCCAAACTCCTTGGCTACAGCACACATGCCGACTTTGTCCTTGAAATGAACACTGCAAAGAGTACCAGCCACGTAACAGCCTTTCTAGGTGGGGTCTTTTTATACTCAGTTGTATATTTCCATCTTTCTTTTTCTTTGATTATCTCACTGTATCCAGCTAAATGCATGGGCTCTTATGTATTTGTCCTCAATTTGTCACAAATATTTGTAAGATAAACATGTATTTGGCTCTGTTACAGAACATGGCAGTTTGGAAGTCAATCCTAGAGTGTAAAGGTGAAGACAACTGTCTGATAAGCCCTGTAAAGAGAAAGAAGGAAACTTAAGGGAGATACAAAGTGATCCAATTCTGATTAGGCCTGTAAGAGAGTATGTGAATACAGGCAGCAAGAGGATAGCCCAGATGGAAATGTGCCCTTTTTAAATTAAAATAAGTTAGGGGGAAAAAAATAAAAAATAAATAAATAAAGTTAGGGAGAAAGCGAAATAGTCAAAATTAACCACAGTATATAAATTGTGGTATCCGTCTAAAAAGTGGAATTGCTATATCCAAATAGACATTCTTTATAGGAAGGGATTGGTGATAAACAAAACCCATGGCTGTTCTTTAACTGCACTGAGCAGTTTTTAGTAATAGTCATCACAGTTGCATCTGATTTATCTTCCCTGGCTTTTTGAGGAGCCTCATCTCATTGAAGAGTAATCATGTACATGAGATGGTTTCACTATTGTTTTGTTTCCTGAGTTATATAACATTCTGGAGTCAGAGTTCTCCGAGATAAACTTGAGCTTTGTTGATGGTATGAGGAAGTTGTGGCTTGATTTGGCTGGTGCTAAAAAAGAAAAACTAAAAAAGAAAGGGGGGGGGAGGGCAAGGAGCCATGATAAATTACCCTGAAGAGAACAGCAGTGCTGTCATAAGAGAGCCTGCTTTCCTTCCCTTGCTCTTTCCTTCCACTCTTCCTTCCTCCCATTATGTGTATCAAGTACTACAAAGGAGAAAACACCGTGCTAAAACACTGGTATGTGTATAAATGTGCTTGCTCCCAAAAGCAACAAATCACTGGCTTTTCCCATTTCCCTCACAGATGACTTAAGCCAGAAATTAAAACCGTTGGGTGACGCAGAGCGAGAATTTATTTTGAATTTGAAGAAAAAAGAATGTGAAGAGAGAGGTTTTGAATATGATGGGAAAATCAATGCCTGGGATCTACATTACTACATGACTCAGACAGAAGAACTCAAGTACTCCATCAATCAAGAGAGCCTCAAGGAATACTTCCCAATTGAAGTGGTCACTGAAGGCTTGCTGAACATCTACCAGGAGTTGTTGGGGCTTTCATTCGAGCAGGTGGCAGATGCTCATGTGTGGCATAAAAGTGTGACACTTTACACTGTGAAGGACAAAGCCACAGGAGAAGTTTTGGGACAGTTCTACTTGGACCTCTATCCAAGGTACTGAGAATCCTATTGTTGGAAGGGACTGTAGGGATTTGATTCCTACCCAGGTTAGAACTCTTGTCTTCCAGAGTTCTCACGTGTGGTTCTTAGAAGTGAGAGTGAACATGTGGTCTCTGAAACCGGAGTGTCTGGCTCTGTCACTTACCGGGCATCTTACTTAATAATGTTCCTGTGCCCCAGTTCCCTTACCTATATTATAGGTTTGATAAAATGTGAATATTAGTTCTACCTGCTTTGTAGGGTTATATGGATGAAACAGTTAATGATGTGCAGAACATTGATTAGAAGACGACTCTGCATATCACAATTGCTTAGTAAGTGTTTGCAGCCATCATCATCATCATTACCATCATCATCTGGTTTGTGCACTGCACTTACTTCATTTAAAATTGGCCCCTTGGGACGCCTGGGTAACTCAGAGGTTGAGCGGCTGCCTTTGGCTCAGGGTGTGACCCGAGATCCTGGATTGAGTCCCACATCCAGCTCCCCTCAGGGAGCCCGCTTCTCCTTCTGCCTGTGTCTCTGCCTCTCTCTTTGTGTCTCATGAATAAGTAAATAAAATCTTTAAAAATAAACAAACAAATAAATAAATTGGTCCCTAAAATATTTATTATTCAGGTAATCTGTTTCCCAGTACTCTTTAGTCTATGGGTACTTCCCTGAATCTGGCTGAGAAGCAGCACAGTATAGTAGGAATAGCAAAATCTTTGTAGTCATTCACATGGAGTTGAGATGCTTAAGTGACTTAACCTCTTTGAGACTCTGTTTCTTCCTCTGTCGTTTGGGACTGGTAATCCCTTTATAGGATTACTTCATGCATTAGGCTATTTATGCATATCACCCAGGCTAGGTATTCAGTCAATGGTGAGAATTCAAAATATTATTGTCTCTGAAACATGCAGTAACTATGGACTCTGTTTCATCAGACATGAAAGGATTTGGATCACTTTCTCTCTAGGCTGCTTTCTAAAACAAAGCTAGGCTGTTACAATTACCAGTTCGTTTTACTAACTAGGCCAAAGGAAATTACAGTAACCCCCTACTTTTTGTAGTGCAAGAAGTTTTTAACCCACAGACTTTGGATGACTTTAGGTAGTTGCTGGAAGGACGCTGGCTAACTGTGTCATCCAGACAGTGGAGTCTTATCCCAGTGTTTTTTGGACTTACTTTCACTTTTGATATAATCTAAAAATAAACCCTTGTCAAATGTAGACGGGTCTATTTTTAATAAGAATGTCAGCATAGAGTTTTAAGCCAAAAATTCTTTCCTGGGAAATCCTTCAGTCTTGGAGTGTTCTGTAACTGTCCCCAGGTTCTACTTCCAGGGTCAAAGATAGCAGTTCATGCCACCTCCGCCTGCTGTCTCACTGCCAACATATAATTGGTTTCTTTTGTACTCTGAGATCTGGCCATTGCTACCAGCACTGATATGGGAATCGGAAGCTGATCTCTTGTGAAAGTAGTGACCTACTTAATGTTCACTTTCTGTCACTTCATAAAAGTGAGATGGAATAACTCATTTTCTCTACATGAGTCAAAAAATATTTGGAGTAGGCCTAAAAAAAAGTTACTTTTTTTTAAATCACATTTCAATTTTTATTCATTGTATACTAAGATTCTCAAAACAAAAAAGCAAAACACTCTGGTTTTAACATAAGATGCTTGATACGGACCTTTTAAAATTTATTATTGTTTTTTTAATTTGCATTTATTTTATGCAGAATTTACACCTGGGCCATAAGTTTTTGTGTCTTTAGTTTCTTTTGGGATATCTTTTTCCTTCTGTGCAACCTCCTCTGGTTTAGGGACAGTCTGCTCTTTTTCAGTAAGAATCATCTCAGTGTGGCAGAGAGAACTCATGTATGGGTTACTCCGGCCACTGCAGTGAAAAGTATGAGGGTGGGGTGCAGAGGGATTCCCCTTGGTCACCGGAGCCAGATTCACTACTGTTGTGACAGCAGCAGAGCAAGAAATGACATGATATCCCAGAGCATTTGATAGGAAAGAAAAAGAAAGAGATTAAATAAAGCTAGCTTCGGGGATCCCTGGGTGGCTCAGCGGTTTGGCGCCTGCCTTTGGCCCAGGATGCGATCCTGGAGTCCCGGATCAAGTCCCACGTCGGGCTCCTGGCATGGAGCCTGCTTCTCCCTCCTCCTGTGTCTCTGCCTCTCTCTCTCTCTATGTCTATCATAAATAAATAAATAAATAAATAAATAAATAAATAAATAAATAAATAAATAAATAAATAAATCTTTTAAAAAATAATAAAGCTAGCTTCATAGCCTAAAATGAATAATATACAGCAATGTCACTGGGGAGCTTTTGTTCACCAGAGAATCTACATTTAAACCTGTAAGTTACAGCATTACTCTCTGCATTTTTATTTTTTATTTATTTATTTTTAAAGATTTTATTTATTCATGAGAGACACAGAGAGAGAGGCAGAGACACAGGCAGAGGGAGAAGCAGGCTCCCTGCAGGAAGCCCGGTGCACGACTCAATCCCGGGTCTCCAGGATCACTCCCTGGGCTGAAGGCAGACGCTCAACTGCTGAGCCACCCAGGCGTCCTATTCTCTGCATTTTTAAACATGTACAGTGGAGCACCTGGGTGGCTCAGTGGTTGAGCATCTGCCTTTAGCCCAGGGCCTGATGTTAGACAGACAAGGCTAACACAGTAGCACACATACTACTCTCAAATGAAGAACACACTTTTGGGGAAAAAATACACTCTTGACCTTCCATAGTGCACTAAGAGGTATAAAATAGAATAGTGGCACCTGGGTGGCTCAGTCAGTTAAGCATGTGCCTTCGGCTCAGATCATGATCCCAGGGTCCTGGGATCGAGCCCTGCATCAGGCTCTCTTCTCCACGGGGAGTCTGCTTCTCCCTCTCTGGCTCACCCTGCGTGTGTTCTCATTCTCTCTGTCAAATATGTAAATAAACAGATAAATTCTTAAAAAAAAAAAAAAGATTTATAGATCTGTTTACACATTTAGAAGTAACTACATGGAATTATTCTAGAAGCACTGGTTAGCCCATTGAACCACCAGAATCTGGGCTGGCTGAAAATCGTATCACATTCAGTATATAGTTTCTGGTGTTCACATTCAAGGGGCCTGTCCCCTCCTCATCTGTCTCCTTCCCTGCTCAGTGATGACATAGCCTGTTCAGTAGGTCTCATTTGTAGGTCTGGGCCCACACTGCGTTCCTGTCCTTCCTTCAGGAGAGATTTTTTTCTCTTCTCTTTCCCTTGGCTTTGGGTTTTTACCAGTGCTTTTAGGGCAGCAGAGTTTGTGCGCTTCCTCCCAGAAGCGAGGCAGCGCTTCATTCCTTTACCCAGGCAGCTGCTCCCTCTCCAGGCCTGCGTGGACTGATGCTTTATCAGGGTATTCCCTGGCCACCATCTTTTTGTGTGCCCCTGGCCAGGTTCAGGGAGAAGACCCTGCAAACAGAGGCAGAATGTCCTTATCTGTAGTTCACAGAGGCTCCCTGTTTTCGCTGGTCCACCACAGCCTTTGACAATTTGTTAAAAGACTTTTCTTACTGGTTTCTGCAGGATTTGCCCCAGGTATTAAAAAAAAAAAAAAAAATACTTGCTTCCTCACTTCCTCTCTCCTTGGAGGCATCTGTCTTGGATGGTCAGTTAGTCGAATGCCTTCCAGTTAGTGATGAATTCAGAAAAAGTTGTGATTTGTAGATTGTGAAACACATTGTGATGGTTGTGTGGATAGGAACATTGCCCTTTCTAGCATTATACCATTATAGGAAGTTGGAAAAGGCCAATTTTTTTTTTAACTTGAAGAACAGTTAACAGCAGGGAAAACAGACTAATAAGGAATCAGCAAGAAAAGATAATACAAAAAAAAATTATATATTAATCAAAACAAACTAAAAGTTCTACCCCAAACCTGAATGTACTGTTAGTCTTCTGGCCAAAAAAAGAAAAGAAAGAAGGAAACCTACTTGTGGAATAAAGTAACTGCACATTGCTTTTGGAGAGACCATCACTGATACCCCATTGTCCAAGAATAGACAACTTTATAGTGTAATTTATGCTTTTTCCCAAGCTAACTAAAAGCATTCTGTTTCAGAAAGGCCTGACTAGTTTATAAAAGGAGCTCATTTAATTGTGAATGCTGATTCTTCCTTCCTTGAATAAAAGGAACAACCTTCTTGTCCAGTATTTGGTTTTCTGTCAATTCTAATTTTAAGAAAAAACTGCCTCGTAAATCAAACTATAACTTTTATCTCAAGTTTGCGTTAACACAATTTAGTGTTTAGTGACCCTGTCCTTGGAGAAGAAAAGCAAGATTCCATTAAACATTGAGCTCTGTACTGGGTGTGGTATATACTCTTAATTCTTACATTAAGATTTTTCAGCAAAAGAAACCTTGGAGATAGAACTCATGTGAAGCAATAGTAGAGTTTTTGTTTGCTTAGTTCTGGTTTATCCATTTTGATAAAATGTTGACCTACTTTCTAAGTGTGGATTACATCCCTCTGGTATCCAGTAAGACTTTGTGTCTGAGAGAGGTCCCAGCAATGTTGTTGCTAGAGAAGAGTTCTCATATCTCACCCATGATGCTCTGGTTCCCAGGGAAGGAAAGTACAACCACGCAGCCTGCTTTGGTCTCCAGCCTGGCTGCCTCCTGCCTGATGGGAGCCGCATGATGTCCGTGGCTGCCCTTGTGGTGAACTTCTCGCAGCCAACAGCAGCTCGTCCCTCTCTCCTGAGGCATGATGAGGTGCGAACTTACTTCCACGAATTTGGTCATGTCATGCATCAGATTTGTGCACAGGTGAGTGATTTTTTTTTTCTTTTAATGGTAAACCTACTAACTGTTTTTCCGACTTTTATTTTTTCTGCTGCTGTTCGATTCCTCCCCTTAACATGTTTTTTCAAATCTGAACATGCTCACGAATCTCCTAGGCCTTCTGTAAAAAAACATAAAAGTTTTCTTATTGTGTCCTCACATATACCGTGTTTCTTACTCAGAGGTTAACCCACTGGTAAAGAATCTTCATTGAATACCACCCTATGGAAAAAGATTATCATTAAGGGTTACAGATAACTCTGGGTTTTTTCTACTTTTAATTATCTTCTTCTCCATAGGGATTTGGTGTAAGCCTCACAGATAAACTGTGCTGTAATCTCTTTTCTTCCACTCATTAATGCTTTGTTTAGTTTGGTGATTTTCAACTGTCTCAGACTCTACTCCTTTTTTAATAATAAATACATTGAAACACCTCCCACTACTAGCCTCAAATTAAAATCATAGATAACGTAGTATAACCATGTAGAGAACTTGCCAAAAAGGGCATGTGTGTGTGTGTGCGTGCAGTGGCTTGCAACTGATTCCTCTATTTCTGAAAATGAACATTTTTTTCTCAACTTAGTAATACAATTCAGTAAACTAGGCCCACCGTATTCTAGGATAAACCATATGAACTTGTTAATATTTCACTTTTATCTGACTCATGAAAACACTGAGTTAGAAAGTTTTTTTTTTTAAAGATTTTATTTATTTATTCATAGAGACAGAGAGAGAGAGAGAGGCAGAGACACAGGCAGAGGGAGAAGCAGGCATCATACAGAGAGCCTGACGTGGGACTCGATCCAGGGTCTCCAGGATCACGCCCTGGGCTGCAGGCGGTGCTAAACTGCTGCACCACCGGGGCTGCCCTAGAAACAGTTTAATAAACAGTTTAGAAAACTGATATTAGAGATACCTGGGTGGTTCAGTGGTTGAGCATCTGCCTTCAGCCCAGGGCGTGATCCCAGGGTCCTGGGATCAAGTCCCCCATCAGGATCCCTGCGTGGAGCCTGTTTCTCCCTCTGCCTGGGTCTCTGCCTCTCTCCATGTCTGTTGTAAATAAATAAATAAATAAATAAATAAATAAATAAATAAATAAGAAAGAGAGAGAGAGAGAGAAAGAAAGAAAGAAAGAAAGAAAGAAAGAAAGAAAGAAAGAAAGAAAAGAAAAGAAAAGAAAAGAAAAGAAAACTGATATTAAAAGAAATGGAGGAACAGTTTTCCAAATATGTAATTTCTATGCATCTCTAAAGGCAAAGTTTTTAAAAAGAAGCTTTTTATTAGAACAGTTTTCAATTTACAGAAAAGGTGCAAGGACAGAACAAAAATTGCCCATGTAACCCTCCCCGTTTCCTCTACTCCTAACATCTAATACTACTGTAATACATTGGTCACAGCCATGAAGCCAGTGTTGCTATAGTACTCCTAACTAAACCCAGCACTTTTTAGATTTTACTCATTTTTCCCAACAGCCGTTCTCCACACAGAATTTTTTTTTCACAGAGAATTTTTTAGTTGATATATTGTCCTCCTTGAACATAAAACAAATACATTTTTATGTTTTCCAGATAGTTAGGCTTGGGCATGGCTCCATAGTAAGATATAATGAAGTCTTCATTATGAATAACCCTGAATCTAATAACAAAAACTACAGACTGATAAATGCAGTTTGTGTTGTAAACTCAAGCCCTAGAATGATAATTGCCAAGTGTCTTGGTTCAGGTTGCTGTAGCAGAATATCTTAGCCTGGGTGGCTTATTAGCAATGAAAACTTCTTTCTCACAGCAGCTAAAAGTTCCAGGATCAAGGTGCTGGCAGATTTGGTATCCGGTAAGAACCTGCTTTCTGGTTCACAGATGGTGCCTTCTCACCATGTTGTCACGTGATAGAAAGGTTGGGGGTCTCCCTGGGTTTTCTCTTATAAGGACGCTGATCCCATTCATGCAAGTTCTAACTTCGCGACCTAATTACCTCCCAAAGGCCTTGCCTCCTACCATCACATTGGGGATTAGGTTTCAACCTATGAACTGGGGGGAACAAAGACATTCCATATTGGTCAATAGCACCAGTGGTGACTTGATTTTCCAAAATGGTGAACATTTTTTTGGGAAACTTACAAAAAGCAGTCTTGCTTTGATTTACCTAGTTGATCTCAATAGTTCAGAGTCCTGGAAATTAAAAGTAGGTACAAAATACTTTACAGAAATATGTGCAATGGAGTTAGTTTCTGGGCTTGCTTAATTAAGATTTTTCACTTATGTAAATGTCCAGTAGGACATCTGAATGGCATGTAGCATATGGGACAATTGTTTTTTGTCCGCACATATGCAGTCGGTCCTGGACATCTAGCATCCCCGGCCCTCAGAATAGCTCCCAAGTCATTATAATAACCAAAGATGTATCCACTCAGTTCCAAAACAATACTGTCACTATTGTTTAAAAAAACCTGTTTAGTTCTTTTAACAATTTATCTTTACATTCTGATTTTTCCTTGTTCAAAAAAATAAGGAAATAAGATATGAATCTGTTCAAATAAGTCCTCATACACCAATGTAGCCAGTTCTATCCTGTATTTAATCCAAGGAAAAGAAATCTTTCAGAATAACCCAAATTTTCTTTCTGACATAATTTTAAAGTACTTTCGCAGGTATCGGGTTCCTGCAGTATTTATTTTCAATCAGTGTCCATTCTGTGGCTGTTTCCTTTAATTAAGATAAGTCTAATTTCCATTTCCTTTTTTAAAAAATATTCTTATGAGTAATTTAGAAAAGTCAGATACCTTTTTGAATTTCAGACTTATGGAATATTACTTAGGTTGTCCAAGATCCAGTTATATATTTGTACATACATAAACCATAGCTTGTTTTTAGAATAGTGGATCTTAACTCTTTTGGGTATGAGGATTCTATGAAAATCTGATTTTAAGCTGTGGATACCTCTTCTAGGAAAATGTACATACAACTCATATGCTCAGATTTTTACATAACATTCCAAAGGGCTCACAGATTCCTTGAAGCCCAGACCATAATGAATTCCAAGTTAAGAACTCCCGGGTTATAGCAGTTTCCTCCTTATTTGTATATTGATTAGCAACTAATGATTTCACAAAGGAAGTAACTTGGTGTCTTAATCACATTTATTAAAGTAATAGTGATTCTTGAGTGGGTTTTCAGTGCTCTTCATGTGTGTTCTTGTTTTCAGACACAGTCCTCTTAGAACCTGAGTATTATATGCTTACCATGTGCTCATAATGCATTTCTCTACCACTCTGTTATTCTCATGATCTCTTCTGTTATTTTTGATCCTTTGAGATAGTCACTTTTAATCCTGGAAAATAATGTTCCTGGTTCCTAAATTTATTATTTTAGAGCTCTTTGACTCTTAACTGAAATACATGTATGTTTATGTGTGTGTGTGTGTACGTATATATATAAACTGTATGAATGTATAATATATACATGAATCAGTATATATACTGATATACTGATGATACTATCATGATGATGATAGTGTTTGTATATGGTGTCTCTATTGAAACACTGGACTACCTTCAATTCTTACAGAGTTTGCCTAACTTCCTTCATGAGCACAGAATGTGTCATATAACTAAATAGTGTGTAGTACAATCCCTTGATTGGTCATCTCATGAGATCATCTTTGAAAAATCTCTATTAATTCTTTCAAATGTATGTAATGTTTTAAGAACTTTTAAAGATATAAACATTGAATTACTATGTTGTACACCTGAAATTAATATAATGTTGTATGTCTACTATAAGTCAATTAAAATTTTTTTAAAGAATTTTTTTAAAGATTTTATTTATTTAGTCATGAGAGACACAGAGAGAGAGAGAGAGGCGCAGAGACACAGGCAGAGGGAGAAGCAGGGTCCATGCAGGAAGCCCAGTGTGGGACTCGATCCCGAGTCTCCAGGATCACACCCTGGGCCAAAGGCAGGGTCAAACCACTGAGCCACCGGGGCCACCCAAAAGAACTTTTAAGTTAATTGTATATGGAACCAATAATCAGTACTTTTGTCTCAAAAGTAATAGGCACAGAACCACCTCCTTGCAGCCTTATAATAATTTCAAAATCTTTTGTATTAACATAACCTGGGTGGTAGTGAATAAGAAGTTTTAATAGCTTCTATGTTTAGTAACACTTCTGACTTCTCTGAGAAATACATAGTGAATTTAAAATTTGCCGTGTGGGAACACCTGGGTGGCTCAGTTAAGTCTGACTCGAGGTTTTGGCTCAGGTTAATGATCTGAGGGTGTTAGATCGAGCCCCACATCAGGCTCCGTGCTGGGCAAGAAGCCTGCTTAAGATTCATTCTCTCTCTCTCTCTCTCTCTCTCTCTCTCTCTCTCTCTGTCAAAAAAAAAATTCTCTCTCTTCCTCTCCTTCTCTCTCTCTCTCTAATTTAAACAAATAATAATAATTTTGCTGTACACATCCACTAGATTGATTTTAAGATAGGCAGCTCAGTGTTTGGGTCCCCCACTTTGGCATTGTGCAAGTTTGATGACCCGAAGAGCTCGTTGGAGCTTGTCATAGTAATATTTAAATGTGACTGCAGGAACATCCAGTTTTCAAACATGAATGTGTACTAGTTCAATATGTCTCCTATTTCATCATTCAGGAGATGAGTTTCTCTTATATTTTCTTGTGTTAGTACTATGGGGTATATAATTTTGAAGATAACAATCCAGAAATGGCATCTCTAGTATCTCTTCCTGTTTCTTGGCTTTATTGTGGTTTGGGCTCTCAGTAATCACTGGCCTTTTGAACTAGGTAGGCTAGAAAAGAAAAGTAATGCTTCTTAACAGCTGCCATAATGATGTCATTGGTCTGCACATTAGGAGTAATGAGTTTTAGACTGTTAGAGATCATTATTGTAAAGCAACATCGGGGGCGCCTGGGTAGCTAAGCATCCAACTCTTGATTTGGCTCAGATGGTGATCTCATGGTCATGAGATCAGATCC